CTCAGTGCTGTGGTTCCTGTTGCAGAGATTGCACACCTGGCCTGCTTATAATGACAATGAAAAAATCTAAAAAAAATATAGAGTTTAGCACATATTCCGAAAATAAGAGTTGTAGTATGAACTAGATGAGGTTATCTATGTGTGCTACAAGTTTGGTGGCACTACAATGATCTATAGTGTAATTTTTGGCTATTATATGCCTATAATAGCCAAAAATACAGTTTGGCCTATCTTCCCAAAGTAAGAAAAAAAAGAATGTTAGAACTGTAAATATACAGTCATATGTTTGTATAACTATTTTTTTATGTATTTATTACTGTTTTCAAAGCTACACTTTGAAATAGGAAATTGTCTATAGCTGTTCTACGCGAAATTTCCTTTTGTTTACACTTGTGTATGCAAAATGACTAAATCAATCTGTTTAAGTCATAAGTAATTATTGGCTTTTATAAACTTATAATAACAATGAAAAATAAAAAAATAAAAAATAGAGTTTAGCACATTTTCCCAAAGTAAGAGTTTGAACTAGATGAGGTTATCTGTGTATCCTAAAAGTTTGAAGGCAGTACAGTGATCTATAGTGTAGTCATTGCTCATTTTATACTTATTCAAATAATAAAACGGGTGTCATTTGTCATTTTGGCTTTTGGAAATTCCTCAGAAAAGTATTATTTTTGAATCCAATAAATGTGATAATAATCCACCTCTCCTTGGTGACGGTTTAGAATATTTCTCTCTGATTATTTTGCAACTTGCAGAGCTCGCTCCTCCTGCACATTTTTGGAGCATTGAGCTCCCCATAGAGTCCAGTGTAATTCTCCCAGCGTGATAGGAGACTCTTTTTGAGGAAACTTGCTGTGGTGTCTGTTTTGTAGAATAAATAATTCGTCGACAAGTTATTAATCCGGAAAAGCCGAATTTGTGCATATATTGCCAGCGGAGGAAAGAAGAGAGAGAGAGAAGAGATCGCCTAAGTTATATTTCCCCCAAAATAAATAATGCTCATTATTGTATAAATGGTAATTATTGTATCAATATTGTTGCTTTCTACAACGTTCCAGCTCATGCAGCTTTTTTCACTGTAGAGAACAGTTATCGTCTGAACGCTGCGCTGGTGGCTGCGCTGAAATCATTGTGGTGTTGGCGACACTGATGACGTAGAGCTATTTATATTTAATCACAAATATGATCCCCCCCTGCTCTCAGGTAAAACACTCTCAAAGAGAGAGACTTGAGCTAAAACCGAAACTGAAGGGGGTGGAATGTTTCTCCAGCCACAGCGCTGATGGGGCATTTACATCTGAAGAGGGATTCATGAGTTGATAATTACTGCGGGGGGATTGCAGGCTGACGAAAATTCTCGTATCTCCGAGATTTTTAGTGTTAAAGTAACAGATCATTAAAAAGGTCTTCAGACCTTTACTGGTTGATGATTTTATTTATTCGGAAGACCACTGATTTTTAATTGGTTACCCCTGGTTTAATGTTTATAACTATTTATTTCCCGTCATGTGTGCCATCCAGTGCAGATCATTGGCGCCATCCACATCTAGTGAAAACTAGTGTAATTGGATGTGTCATATAACACACTCATTGGTTAGCCAATGGAAATCATCAGAAGCCAGCAGGTGTTCTTCAAACTGCAAAAGGCGTATTGTCTATGCCATGCTTCAATGTCGGGTTCAGAAAAAGATGTTGAAATGTCTGAAAGGTCGGACACAGGCGAGAGCTTATCGGGAGATGGAGACCGACAAGACCTCCCTCATCCTTGGCCCTATCTCAAAGAATTTTTAGAAATAGTCGAAAAATTGAACTTTCAATTCATATAGTGGCATCTGGCTGTTTTTTTAAAGGTTACTTTATACTTTTATACTTTAAGTAGTTTTTGTAGCACATACTTTTTCACTTTTACTTGAGAAAGAGGTCAAGTTGATACTTCAACTTTTACCAGAGTGTTTTTAAACTGGAGTATCTATACTTCTACTTAAGTAACAAATGTGTGTATTTTTGACACCACTGGTTGATGTCCTGCGCCAGAAAAGAAAATTAAAGTTTTGTTAGCTGAAAACTCTTCAGAGCATGTACTTCTTTCAACCACTTTGGGTCCCACCTCCAAGACTGCTTGGCCTCCTGACAAGTGTGTGACATTGACATATCCATGATGTTGTGAGATTTCCCTGGTTTTAAAACATCAGTCTTAGTCACATTTGGGCCTCTTTCTATGTGAACAGTTGCTGACAAACTTCACTACCAAAGAACAGAGTGCATATGCCAAAGCTGGTGCTGTTGCAGAAGAAGTCCTCTCTGCCATCAGGACGGTGTTCGCCTTCAGTGGTCAAAAGAAGGAGATTGAGAGGTGAGTTTATGGTGGCTAAACATTGGCTGCAGCTATATTTAAAATCCACTTTACTTTGGAAAAAAATTTAAGAGAGCTTTTATTTATTTTATTTGTTAAAACCAAATAAGATATATCCTGTAGAGATTGATGCTGTGTAGTAAAGTAGTTAGTGTCAGCAGAGAAAGGCTAGAATTGAATAAAAGTATTTTTTTTAGACACACTAATGTTGCATTTGTTGGGTTTCTGTTACATTGCAATTCAATTTCACTGGTGCATATTTGTGACCTTTTCCATGCCTGGTTCTGAGTATGTGGGCTTTATTCTAGATATCACAAGAACTTGGAAAATGCTAAAACAATGGGAATAAGGAAGGCAGTCTCTGCTAACATCGCCATGGGATTCACCTTTCTGATGATCGACCTGTCTTATGCTCTGGCCTTTTGGTATGGCAGCACCCTAATCCTGAGTGGGGAATACACCATTGGATCTGTGCTCACAGTAGGCAAACACACATTGTCGGCTTGATCTGTTTAGCTCAATTTAAGATTAAAGTAGTGTTTGCTAAATAAGAGCTTTATTTCCTTTTTATTAGGTATTTTTTGTTGTGATAATTGGAGTGTTTGCAATGGGGCAAACGTCTCCCAACATTCAGACGTTTGCTAGTGCCCGCGGAGCTGCCTATAAGGTGTACAACATCATCGATCATGTGAGTAATGCAACAGATATGAACTAAAGCACACTTTTTGTCTGAAGGCGTGTTGTCAGATTTTATCACTGAATATGCATTGCTGCACTTTGGCACAATGTGAGGTTCCTTTGAAGCAGCCAACAAGCCAACTATAATGACTTGAAGGACTTTTCTCTAATTGGAGCCCCTGCTGCCTCAGAGAAGAACTTTGGGTCATTCAGTTGATGCTGCACAGTTTTTTTTTTTGTGTAAATCCAATCCCATTTAGTGAATCCAGCTTATTTTCTACATCCACCCAGTGACTTTTAATGTAAATTGATAAACCATACTGTTATTTTTCAAATATTTTCTTCAAGGCTAAAAAAATTATTATGAATTCATCTACAATAAGAAGCCCTGCAGGGCTCCATTTTAAAAAGCAGGTTAATCGACCTGTTGCTGTAGGAACATTCTCCCCAGTGCTAACCTGGTCAGAAGAAGGTTTTGTTCAGTAAAATCGGCGACCTCTGTCTCCGCTCTCCTTCTAAATGTATATGATATATTAACCTATGCTTTAATCCGAGCATCAATCTTCTTCCCCGCCATCTTCCATTCTTTTGCAGCTGTAGCGCTGTTTCTGTCTTTAAAACACTTCTAATTGTTTTCCATTTGTGCATTAAACGCTCTAGTTCCAGTGATGTGAAATAGGCACTTCCTGTTGCCAGTTTAAAACACATTCTCCCTTTCTTTTTTTATTTTTCTTTTTTTATTTATAAATTAAAATTTCTAGTTCCAGTGGTGTGTTTAAGGTGAGCCTTAAAGGGGAAAATCTTTTTATTTTAAATTGGGCCCTTAATTTTATGAATCACTGTCCCCCAGACATCCGCGGTTATATTTTTTATATTTATATTTTTTTAAAACAAAGCAGAGTGTGTATGATGTCATCCACGCGTGCCAGCTACCATTCATTCATCCTGTCCGCTGAACTGCTGCTAGTTTTACTCACATGCCTGGAAGATGTCTAGTGCTACTACCACAGATGATCTCGCTCTCGAAATGGAATTGAATGATTCAGATTTTTTAAAAAGGTGTTGAAATTAACCCGACGTCTTTTGATACATTCTTTTATTGCAGGGGATTTAAAAATCTATCAGTAGTTGGTTATTGTTATTTTATTGAACAGAGGTCATAGTCACTTCGACAAGAGACGACTCACCTAAGTAGGTCTTGAGGCTCTATTCTCCTCAGAAAATTACATATGTCAAAATATAATGTGATATGATTTATTCATGGTAATTAATTTGAATATTGCTTAAGCATCTAACTCAAAGAATTTCTTACAGAGAAAATTAGGGGAAATTTAATATGTGTCTAAGTCTTGACTGCATCAAGAAAAGCAGTCGAAAACACAAAGAACTGAGGAAATAAACATTTGGTCTCGCTAAACCTGCTCACTCTAACATGGAACGCGAACAGCCTTCCTCCTAATGTTGGTTTGAAGTGTTTGTAGAAATATTTTAATCCTGATTTGGGCAAAGAAAACATTTTCACATTTCTGTTCTTTTTTTATCTGCAGAATCCAACTATCGACAGTTATTCAGAGACTGGGTTTAAGCCGGACCTGATCAAAGGAAACATAGAGTTCAGTAACATCCACTTTAGCTACCCGTCCAGGCCTGATGTCACGGTTGGTTCCACATCTACTGCTCTGTGGAAGAACTTCTACAGTAAATTTTTTTGTCAGTTTAAACTGGTTAACAGCTAACATTGGTGTCCTCCTCAGATATTAGACCAAATGTGCTTAAGTGTGAGCAGTGGACAGACCATGGCGTTGGTTGGTAGCAGTGGATGTGGTAAAAGCACTACGATCCAGCTGCTGCAGAGGTTCTACGATCCTCAGGAAGGATCTGTAAGTGATGTTTTTATTGTAAACTATAGTGAATACTTTGTCAGTAAATTTGTGCTTTTGCAAATATAACTCAGAAAGATGTATATCAAATGTATAACAGGATCTAATGGTTTTTTGTTTAAAATAGAAAGCACTACCATTTTTACTGTTATTATCATTATTGTAATATGTGATATTGACATATTTTTGCAGGTCACCTTGTGAAGGAGCACGGAATAAATTTAGTGTTATTTTCTTCTTTTTCGCAAAATATTATGAGGTTTCCCTATTCTGCACTTTGTAGAGTAACACAAAGGCACTCAAACAAGCTGATATAGTCAGTTAAATAGTTAGAAGTAAGACATTTTTTTTTCCAGATATAGAGTAACCATATGTTTTTTTTTTTTTTTTTAAAGAAAATTATTCAAATTTTTTTGGCACAAACGACCTTCCTTTAAAAGTCAGCTGTGCATTTGTTTGTGAAACGCCATCAGCCTCAGCCCTAGTACTGTTCCAACTCACATGCACAAGATGACCAAGAATGGACATAGTCCCCGGATGGGACATTATACTTCATTATACTTTTAAGCATCACTATATGGCCCATTTACTGATTAAGCACATAATTAAGAAAAAAAATTCCAATGTTGAGAGGACCGTGGCAACCAGCAAAGCTAACCGCAGAAAGGGCTAATTTTAGCCTGTCTGCAGCAGCCCTCTTCTCGACATAGCCATTTGTAAAGTGTTGCTGCCTGTGATGGCTATTTTGTTGTTTTATTTGGCGAAATGTTCATTTGATTTGTGTATACCCGACTGTTAATTATTATCCCACCATTAAATGAAAAGGGTAAGAATTTATTATTATGTACAAAATATTAATAAGAGGAGGAGAAACGTCATGGCTCCAGACGAGCCGAGCGTGTGTTGACGTCACAAGCACGCATCTGTTCCAGTTGACCCATAGTCATGCTGCATGCTCCCGTTCTCCCCGAGTCCACATTTTACTGTGTTCTTGTGAAGAACATACTTGGCGAGGACACAAGCTCGGACTTGCGTTCTTGTGAATTGGAAAACAGCCTTTGTCTGCATTACCTTTGTTCCACTGCTTTGGCTCTCTGTCTAATCTATAGAAATGTAATCTCTAAAACAATCTTTTACAATATTTTGCACAAATTGTGGGGAAAAAAAGGTGGCTTATATTCTGTTTGAGGAAAGTTTCTGCCTCAAATGGAAGCGTTCTAGTATCTTGGTGAGAATGGAGCGGGAGATTGATAAACGGATCAGTGTAATGTGGACGCTGCACTGGTCTGTTGTGGTGAAGGGAGAGCTGAGCAAAAAGGAATATCTCTTTGATTTACAGGACTGTCTATTTTCCTACACTCAACTATTATTCATGACCGATCCCAGACACAAGTGGCTGAAATGAACTTTTTCCAAATGGTGGCTGGGTTCTCTCTTAGAGATAGGGTCCAAGAGGCCAAGAGTAGCGTTGATTCTCCACATAAAAGGAGTCAGCTGAGTTGGCTCAGACATCTTTTTGAGAAGCCCCCGGGATGCCTGATTGGGAGGTGGCCTAGAGGAGGGACTATAGCCCCATTTACACTACCCTCTGAAAAGTGATCTTTGCTGAGCATGGATCACTTAATCGTGCCATGCTTGGTTCCTTACGACCATTTACAGACCACCTTGCGCGGTTTCTTGCCTTCTAGTGGCAATCTACAGTACTACTAAACAAATCCACATGGTGACGCCTGTGACATTCAGGAAGTTATGTTTTGTTATCATTGTGATATTTCATTGTTTGTAGAGATTCAGGTGAAGAAGGCAGCCTTTGGTGAATTTACTTAACAACAGTCGGCTTTTGGAAGTGGATACGACAAACGATAGTCCAATCAGGGCTAACAGAGGCAAAAAACAACAATGGATGTTGAGGCACATCACATTGCTAAGCAGAATCATCACTGGGAATGAGGGAGGGAAGCTAGTGTTTTAATGAATGTCTGAAATTTCATGATTATGTAGGCTGACGTAAGGAGATGACGCGGTCTGCTCATGCGCTCTTTGTTATCTGAGAACTGAGCCACAACTGAACTGCGCTGATCCCTACTGATGAACTGGTACCAGTTTAGCGCAGTTTGGTTGTGTCTGGCTCGGTCCAGTTCAGTTTTGCGTGCTATTTATACTCAACAGTTATCTTGGGTTACCTTGCTCAGACCAATCTCAGCACGGTTTCAAAAGGTTAGTGTAAATGGGGATTATGACTCTCAGCTGGCCTGGTAGCACCTTAGCCTTCCCCAAGCAGAGATGGAGGAAGTGTCTGCAGAGAGGAAAATCTGGGAGTCTGCTGAGACTGCTGCCCCCGCGACCCGGTCCCCGATGAAGCAAAAAAAAAACGACAATGCCGATTTGCACAATCTTTCTTTTCAAATTGGGTATATAAAATATGTAAAACCTTTACAGGCAGCGGAGTCTCATTGCTTTGAGTACATCCAGTGGCAAGACATGAACCCCTAACTCTGCACAAACTTGTCCTGTGAATGCAGGCCACAGAAAATAAGATCAGAACAAGGTAGTTTGTTTGCATACCAGAAGCTACACTTTAAAATAAAGTGTGGATTGGTGTTTGGTTGAAATATATATTTTTTCCTGGGCAAGAATCTTCTTTTTGTATTGATGAGACCATAACAAACATTTCTTTTATAGAGAGTAAAAATATAATAAGTAGTGAAGAATGCACATAAAAAAGTAACAGAAAAT